GCCATCTACCTCTGTTGTCAGCTGGTGAATCTGGAAGTTACGCCCCCACCCCTTCCTTCCTGCTCAGCTATTGGCCATTGGCTCTTTATGAAAGCCAATCAGAGAATTCCTTAGGCTGGTGAGGAAGGAACAGATATTAACAAATCTGGCCCACACCTGGTGGTGCCGGCACAACAGTTAACAACTGGGAACACAGGGGCCCGATTTCATAGCCAGTTGATGCAATATGTGTGGGCGTAGGTTATCCCAACAAGGTATCCTCAGCTCTTAAGGGGCTTAGCTAGGAAGGGAAGGATACAGCTGTCCAGTTACCTAAGTGCATTGTTCTGTGGAAGAGAGTATAGTTTTACACTTCTGCGGAAAGGTCACTTCTCACTAGGTGGTCAGGGGTGACATGAAGTCGTAAGTGGTGGTGGCAAATCATCTGTAAATTGCTGCACGGCCATAGTTTTCTGTCCCCATTGTCTGTAGTACAGAAGTGGACCCGTTAGCATGGCTGACTTCTCAGAAGAGAGACCAAACTCCCAGTGAAGTTCTGGAAAATTTCTGTCACACAAGTCTGCAGGAATCAGCCCGCATTTCAGTGACAGCCTGGAAAGCCACCAGAGCTTAATCCGATCAATAGCTCAGCATGTAGAGGGGATGGAGCCCCAAGCTCTCTGCCTAGAACCATCCTCCAAAGCAACTGCACACACAGTAGCCAAGGCTTCAGATGTTGGGCTCTGCTCCAGTTTTCAACGCCTGTTACCCTGGAGGTTGAGCAATACCATGCCCGTAAACAGAGAAACATGTGTGCTGCAACTTGCCAATCCAGGCCATGTGGGAGAGCTCCTGCTGGAGCGTGGTCCACTTCCCATGGGCCTACAAAGGGAGGTCAAGTTCTGTTCTGCCTTGGTGCTGAGGGAAGAGAGGACATCTCTTAGGAATAGAGTTGGAGTTTGAGAGGAGTCCTTTAAAAACCAGTTTGGAAAGAAGGAGCAGAAATTAAGAACACTTGTTCCTCTTGCAGAGGACCAGGTTTCGGTTGGTTCCTAGCACACACATGGCAGCTCACAACTGCTTGTAACTCCGGTGCCTAGAAACAGAGGGCATTGCATGCACATGGTGGACAAACCTGTGCAGGCATAGCACTCATACATATAGAATAAAAATAGATGAACCTAAAACAGTAACAACAACGACAAAATCCAACAATCCAATTTCTATGAAATACAATCGCTATTTGTTTAATAGTCATGTAGATTTGGAGTGGGCAAGAGGTGAGTTCAACTAATTTCGCTGTGCCCTTTCTACTACAACAGGACTGCCAAGATGACTCGGTGGGTAAGAGCACTTGATGCATGGGCAGAGGGACCGGGACCCACATCAGAAACTGAGTGTGTTTCTTCACATGCTGTAACACCAGCACTGTGGGGAGCAGAGATGAGTATCTCTGGACCTCACTGGCTGACTGGCCTCCAGGTTCAGCGAGAGGCCTAGTATCAAAGCCAGAAGAAGAATGACAGAGCGAGATATCTGAACATGCTGGCATTGCACAATCACTGGCAGCCTAGGAGTGATGTCACCATGTGCACGTGAGAACCCGTTCTTAGCTGGCCGATGTCACCGTGTACACAGGTGGAAACTCGTTCTTAGCTGTCTGTTTTGCCACTTCAGTTACATCCTTGTGCCCTTTGAGCAAACCTGTTAAGCGTAACTGATCCTTGTAGCCCATTTAAAAGTCTACATTGAAACATTGTCCAGAGGTATGCAAAGCGGGTGTCAGTAAAGCAGATGTTTGTCATTGGATACATGGACAGGATCCTGTTTCCTTACAAAACAACCAAGCATTTTAGTGAAAAGGCTGTTCACACTTTAGCAGGCAAACAAATCAGATCATGGAAATCCCGCTTAAAAGTAGCTGGCGGTTGCTGGAGCGCTTCACTTTTGAGCGGCTCTCAGCTGCCACCAGGTCTGCAGATGGTGGACTGGACTTTGCAATCCGTGAACGTGGAGGTTAGCTGCACGTGGTTGAAGCTGTGTCATTTTGTTACAGGGCTGTGTACTCTTGCTAGGCCGTTCTACCAATGCCGTATTTACAAGTAGACTGTGGATTTTAGAACAGTAGTGATGTGATTTCAGATATCTCAGTTGTTACTGTGCTCAAAGCTTCGTGTAATTGAGATGCTCACAAGGACAAGCCTTACATTCAGATGGCTTGGATTTAATGGAACACAGCCTGCACACGTTATTCACTTTCTATAGGCTAAGAACCTTATCTCAACTTTCCATAAGTACCCGATGGGATGCCTCTGCATCTTGTTCAGGAAACCAAAGTAGTGTGTTCCCAAAAAAAAAACAAGAAGCACACTCCTTCAAATTTGTTACCATCCTCACATCTTTAATCTTTTTTTAAAAAAATATTTATTCATTTTACAAAAAATATGGAATGCTTCATGAATTTGCGTGCCATCTTTGTGCAGGGGGCCATGCTAGTCTTCTCCATATGGTTCCAGTTTTAGAAGGTGTGAGAGCACCTTTTGTGATCTTTTAACAGGAACGATTAGGAAGTTCAGCTGGATTGACAGTTTTAAACTGGATTGGCAAAGACTCAGACATCTTAAATAGCACCAGCCTCTTAGCCAAGCTATCAGGGGATTAAACAGCCAGCTAGGAGTAGGAGAACAGGGGACTCCCCAAAATGATGTTCACACACCAACAGGTATAAGGACAGTATGCTACTTTTAGTATGCTCCTCCAGGCACAAGGTATTTGGCCAGGCTACTGTTTAACTACCAACTTAGCGTGGCGATCCTAAGACCATGAAAAGAAAGTTATTTTTTTTTGCATCAAGAGCTGTAGCACGGCCAGGGTCATGCCAGTCTATGAAAACTTCAAGTCTCCCTGCTCTTATATGCGGCCAAAGAGCTTGGTCTTCCACAGGAGTGCATCACAGCAAGCTGGACAAGGAAGTCAGAGTGTGAGGATGCCGTGAGGCAGAGTATTGGGGAGGAGGGAACTCTGGGAATTTAAGTGGGAGTCCTTGTTGGCTGAGGGATGGGGGTTGTTCTTTGAGTAAGGTGAGATTCCCAAAACAAGTGGATACCCTGGGTTTGGGATCCTGATAGAACTATCTAAAGATCTGAAAGAACTGGGAGAAGGTCAAGGCAGAATCAAATTAACTCAATCTATAACACCAGAAACATTCGGCAAATATAACGGAAGACTATTGTCTTAAGAATAAGTGCATGTTCTGGGACAGGAGCCGTAGCCTGGGACTCAGGAAACAAGAGTGGATCCGCCTCAACAAGAATAAAATCAAGCAGGATTACAGCGGGCTTACAGATGTATATCGGTGATTTTAGTTATTTTCTAGAGCAAGTGGCAATGCCCTTTGAAGAATGACAGTATCATTTAGACTCCTAGAGAATCAGGATCTTGTCAGGAATACAGTAAAAACTGTCAGACACAGCAAGAAACAGTAAACACAAGACAGCTACTCAAGAAAAACGAATGAAGCTCAGATGAGCTGGTATATTTAAGAACTTAAGTTAGATTTAACATGAAGATTGACATTTACCCTGGGATTGTTTTTATAATGTGTAAAGCATAAATATCTAAGTTAAAGAATTACTTAGGCTGGGCAGTGGTGGCGCACGCCTTTATTCCCAGCACTTGGGAGGCTGAGAGGCAGGCAGATATCTGAGTTCGAGGCCAACCTGGGCTACACAGAGAAACCCTGTCTCAAAAACAACAACAACAACAACAACAACAACAAAAAGAATTACTCAGATCCCTTTGTCTTAAGATCAGACACAAGACAAGAATGTCTACTCGTGGGTTCCTACTCAGCACTGCAGTAGTGTTCTTTGGCACTTGAGTTTCAGATGTCAAGTTGGCCACTGGATTTAAAAATCGAAGATTTGGGGAACGAGGGCTTGGAGAAACAGATTTTAGGAGATGGAGAAAAAGTGTGGGCAGATGAGATCCTAAAGAAGAACTGAAGGAAGGAAAGGCCTAGGCCCGAGGGTGAGTCCATGTAGTCACTGAGACACAGTTGACCACAGTTCCTGTGTGTCTGAAAGGAGGGTCCTCCTGGGCCTACACTGTGCTGTGTGCTCGGTAGAGAGCAGTATCTCACTCTGTGCAATGAGAGGCTGCAGAGGCTGTGGGGACGCCATCTTGAGGCTGACCACTTCCATGTTCAGCAGGAGGCACTTCTGTGGTACACGCCAGGGCTGTCTCGTCCGCCGACTTTGTATGCTTATTACCTGGTCCAGTCCCCAGGCTGGGCCTGATGTTCCCTGGGGTTCTGTAGAAACAGGAATGCCCGAATCCATCACCATCCATAACACGCTCGCTGTTTGCCTTGGTTCCGTTTGTGTCCCGCCCTCCCCGCCCCCGCGGCCCCGCCCCCCAACTTCAGGAAGATGAAAACGCAGGGCATTTCGCATGGCCTTAGGATATCGATGACTACTGTAAAATATGGAGCCAGGTGGATTTACATTTTTTTCTCCTGAAGACAAAACATAGCTTGCCTCGGCTAAGATCTTATCTCTTAATGAGCAGAGGCAGTGTAATTAAGGATTTTTCTTCAAGGCTGTAGACGTGCCAGGCCTGCTGGAAACTTTGCTTGCTTTTCATAAATCAAGTCAGTTTGGACCTGAATGTACTCAGGGCCCTGTTCTGCCCTGTGTTCATGGAGGCTGTCCCAGTGGCATCTTATTTTCTCATAGCTAACCTGTCCTTGATCACAGCGAAGCTTCTTGGATGCTGTTGACCATAGCCAGATGGCCACTCTTAAGGCAAAGGCAGACCATGGGATGAAGGAGCACAGCTGGCTAGTGGGTGGGGAGAGGGATGACCTTACCTGGGTTCTGGGAGTGAGTCCTCCACCTCCGGGGACCTGGCACTGCCGGGTGTGGGGCAGCCCTTGGCCAGCGAGCAGTCCTCACTTTGGTCCTCACTTTCTTGGCTTTGTTGGATATAAGAGGTCTGAAAGTTTCCCCAAGAGCCTTGTGAATTAAATACATTCGCAATTTGCATTCTAAACAAGCTCCCTGGACTAAATCTGCTGGCTGCATTGTTTTCTTGGCTCATATTCATTTGTTAATAATGTGTTGTTTTTTTGGGAAATAGCCCTTACTCTGTTGGCTTGGAAGAAGAATCCAAGGGAAATGTCATGCTGAATTCTACACTAAAATTCAAAGCAACACGTGTGCAGGAGTGATCTGGTCAAACAAGGTTACGGTCTCCTGAGATCCTGTAATGAGTGGGGTCCAGACAGAAGGTCGACGGTGGATGGTAGGTGCTGGTTCAAATATGGCTTCTGATGAGCACGTTGAACGTAGCAAGGGTTCAGGGGACCCATGGACTCCAGAGAACACATCGCTGTGACCTGTGAAAGAGAGTCAAGGGAGGGGATGGCCCTACAAGTCCTGACCCCATGGCACACAAGCAGGAAGAGGGGTTCACAGGATGCTCTGAGAGGTCTGGGCTTGCTGAGTGGGCTCAGCCCGTCACATGTGTCAGCCTCCCTGTCAAAGACTGCAGCACTTACTTGCTGTATGAGATGTCTCATTCTGAACTGGGTTCTTTCTACAGCCACAGCTGCTCAATTATGTTCTGAGTTGTTTCCTGATGGGCAGTGGGGACAAGTTGAGAACAGCTGTGGCCGAAGGAGGAGGAGGAGGATGAGGACAGGACGAGGAGAATGAGGAAGAGGAGGAAGCCTGGGTCCTCCTGCATTTGTGGCCCTGCCCACCATGGAGCTAATCTTGCAGAGTTTGGAAAGAGGTGGGAAGTGGGTTTCCAGGCTCTTCCATGGTGACCCCCCTTAGCTCAGGGCCTGCCTGCTCCTGTAGAAGGAGTCTTCTGGCCTTGGGTATAGAAGAAGGTGAACTCTGGTATGGCTTTCAAGGTGGTAGTGCTATGGGAGCTAAGGGGATCTGGGGCAGCAGTGGCAGGTGTGATTGCTGGAGACATCTGATTAGCCTTTCTGGTGACTCTGCCACCTTCTGACATTCAGGATGTAGCCAGTATTTGTTCTATGTGTCTGTAACTGCCACTATCCCAGAGGCTTACGCACGTCGTCCCTGGTCTTTACCACAATCCTGCAAAGCAGCTTAAAAATAATCAAAACTCCATCAAGCCAGACTTCCTCTTCAAGACCACTGAGCTGGTCTGTGGATTGCAGAGCTCCACTCTTTGTGTGACGTGAAGGGCGTGTCACAGGAGACTGTGCATCAGAGGAAGGCTGACTTCCTGTTCATCTTCCCCTCAGAAGGCCACTTTCTTAGGTGTGAGTCAATAGTGAGACCGTTACCCGGCTCTAGTTTACCCTGGCCTGCGTGGAGGCCGTGGGGATACGCCTTCTTGATCATCTCCCATCTACCTCCATTCTAAAGCAGACAAAGGCTCTGCTCAGGACACCGGGAACGAAACCAGCTTCCATCCAGCTCACGGGCAAGAGGAGTATTGAGACAACTCCAAGAGTCAGGACTCACGGACAATTTCTCTTTGTGTCTTTTGGTTGTGTTTGGAGTTTACAGATGTGAAGCCACAGCTGGCTTCCCCCTCTCTCTGAGGGGCCCCGATAGTCAGTCAACTGAGTTTTCTGTTGTCATTTTTTCACAGGTTTAATAGCTGTTGGCAACCACGTGGTGTTATTTTGTTCACATAATTATTCACTGAGCGTGAACATACCCTGGAGCGCCTCAGCTGTGGCCATGTTCGCTGGACACTAGGAAGTGGCTCAAACCTGGGTGTGGATGTGTGAAATGGGGAAAAAGGGTTTTTTTGTTGTTTGTTTCCTAATTTGATGCATCAACCATTGAGAACAAAGCCTGACACACATGTCTGTGTGACATGTGAGTTGGATTCACCCTACATTGTCATGACATGGGCCCTGATATTTGTCTTCTGTAATTCTCTCAGCAGAGAAGGAAAGGCAGTCCGGCTTCCTTGGTAATGGCAGGTGGTGGCAGAGACCACAGAGGACTGCCTCCTCTGCCAGCTACAGCCGTGTCTGTTCCTCATCGGCTCATCTGGGCAGCTGCGGGTGTGAGTTGTTGAACTTCAGAGAGAAAACACATTAGAAAGAGAAGACGCTAAGCTGCAGCCTGTCTGTCTCCATGTTGAATAAGATGGGACAGAGAGGAGGGCTGACTCCTTTCTCCTTTCAGTTTCACAGAGTGAATAAGTTCTGGAAACCTTATTATTATTAAATACGGAAGTGCATGCGTGGAACTTGGTGAGTAAGTAGATCTTAAGTGTTCTTATCTCTCTCACACATAACATGTATACATATATATACACAACACATGCATACACATATATGTATGCCTGCACACAATGTATATACATATGCAGATGAATACATGTATGCTATACATGCACACATATATACAAATGTACATAACACATACACACATGTGCATGCATATGACATGCAATACAACACACATACACTTACATACAACATCAGACACATCCAAAACACACCCACCCACAACATGTGCCTACATATCATACACATACACTCAGGCATCCACTTATACAGAACCTCACACACACACACACACACACAGGCACACAGGCACACATACACACACAGTAACTATGAGGTGATGAATTGGTTTGATGTTACAATCATTTCATATTCTCTGTGAATAATATCACTTTGGGCATCTTAAATGCAATTTTTATTTGTCAGCGATGCCTCACAAAAATCTGGACATAAGCAACTTTGGAAAGGATATTTTACAACTTAAAAAGAGTAAGAAAGCCAGGCGTGGGGCCAGCAAAATGGCTCAGCAGGTTCAAGCGCCGAGAGAAGCTCACTCTCATCCCAGGATCCCACAGGAGGAGAGAGCTGGTCCCTAAAAGTTGCCCTCTGACCTCTACACACATCTGTGGGCCCCATGTTTACACACTCACACACACAGATGCTATAGATGTGTAATTCCAATGCTTGGGAGTGTGAGGCTGGAGGTTGGGAATAAGGTCTGATGTAGAAGAAAGAGTACTAGAATGCATGCTACAAAGGATTTACTGAAAGGGGACATTAAATCACACAAAGCAGAATTTAGCCGAGGGAGCGCTGCCTCTGAATACCCAAAGAAAAAATAGTGTGCTAGCCAGCCTGTTAGAGATAAGCAAAATTTACATTGCTAGGGTGTAAATCTTTATTCATCAGGACCGACCAGCCATTAGGCCCAACTCCCAAAACTCACCTCGCTGGACAGCTCGAGAGCCCAGTGCAGGGTCACAGCCACCCTTAAGATCTGGCTGCCATTAACCCCCACCCCTGCATAGTCATCAGGAAAAGCGTAATCCTGCCAGGTGGGCAAGATGAACCTGGGTAAAAACTTTTCAAAAAGACTAACACTGGTGTAACTAAAATAATTCTGGCACTATCTTTGCTGTGTAAATCTCCCATCTGCCCAAGTGGCCAGACTTGCAGTCTCCTGTCTGTGTTTAAATTGTTGGAAGTGTAACCTGGGGCCAGGACATGAAAGGACTTAGGTATGCATGTTAGGGAAATCTATTCACGGCGGCTTTTCCTTGGGCATTAGCTGCTACCAGCCATGCACTTTTCTGTTTCTTTTTCCCAGTAAATCACCCTTTCCTTTATTAATTTGTAAGTGTGGAGAGTGATTTCTTCCTGGGAAGGCATAGTATTTAACAGGGAAGCCTGGGATACATAGAGAGAAGCAGAGGGAGAGCTGGAGGGAGGGCTGGAGGGAGGTTAAAGAGAGACAAAAAGATGAAGAACTCAAGACTGGCATATAGTATTAACTAGACTCAAGATTTTATTTGGATTTTATTGATTTTTCTGCGAGTTTCAGGCTGGGCAGCAGGTTACTGTGGATTGACTTCTCTTATATGCCTGTTTGTCTGCAATATCCTGAAGTCTTGACACAAGGCTTAGAGATGTTGTCAGTGACTGCTGGAAGATGTCTTTGGTTTGGGGAGACTATTAGGATCAGGGTGGCCATTGTCTTGTTTATCAGTCACCTGCCCTCCAGCTTTAGAGAGGACACAGCTCAGGGTATGTGCAGAAGGGCCTTCTGGACCTTAAGACATAGACGAGGGCATGTGAGGAGAGCCCTGCCTGGTGTCCACAGCTAGGAAGGCCTCTTCCCTGCCATCACAGGCCAGTATAGGATTACAAGGTGCTCTGCAGAACAGGTGTTGTGGAGGGAACCCCAGGGCCTGTAGCTTTTGTTGTAACACGATTCCTCAGAGCATAGGGCCTCTAGGACCCTCCAGGAAATTCCTTTGCAGAAGTTCAGAAAGAATTCTGCTTAATTTCCTGCCTGGGCCTGTTATGGTGGAGGGAAAGGTGTTGGCCCAGATGGCTTAGGGTCTGTTTGGTGCCTTCCTGGCTCATACTAAAACTTTGCCTAAAGCACCTTCTGGGGCTGAGGTGGGAGGCCTCTGCTGGGATCTTCATTCCTGATTTCACTGAGACTCTTCTGAAGGCAAGGTTGTCTTACGTCTCCCTTTAAGGCAACTCCTGGTAGATGATATTAACTTTACATGGAGCCATGCTTCAATCCAGTGATTCTGGGGCCTTGCACAGCAGACGCACCCCACAGATCAAGCCCCAGAGGATTCTCATTGTGCAGTCAGCCTGCCTGGCGCTGGGGCATGGCTCTCAGCCAAGCATGTACACTTAACACACATTCCTTTGCCAAAATCCTAGGCACATTAATATTTCCAAACCTCAAATTAGTTCTTTTAAAAACCAGAACCACATGCTGGCAGAGGCAATGTGTTCACGGTCTGCAGTGTTTTTTACTGGGTTGGGATTCATGGGTCGTAAGGTAGAGATCAGCTCTGTACCCAGCTCCAGTGTGCCTAAGCAGGGCCTTTCCCTCCCGAGCCTGGGTTGTTCTGGCCATGAAACAAGAATGTTGGAGCAGAGACTCTTCATGGGCTTACAGCTTTGAGGGTTTATGATTTTTTTGTGGAGCTGGAGACTCTGAAGTTCACTGGTTTATAGGATAGTTTATGTGAAATCCACAAGGGCCTAGAATTGCTTGTAAATGTTTGAAATGTGTTTTTTTCATGAGTCTAAACACGGGCAAAAAAAAAAAAACAAAAAACAGACAAGAATGTAAACAGCGCTTGGAAAAGCCCTTTCTGCTAGGGCTTGCTGGAGTTTGGATGAAGGTAACCAAGGAGTCTGCACTGGTAGAAGCTGAAGCTAGAGGCTTCCTCCATGGCTGCCCAGGAAGGAGGGCCAGCTGCTGGGTGCTGAGTATGGCCATAATTCTTTACCTCTCTCTCAAAGCAAGGACTTAAAGTCGGTGGTCCTGACTTCCACCTTCTCTCGAGAGGCCCCGCAGATTCTTTCCTGCCAACTTGGAGTCCTTCTTGAAGTCCTCAAACCTTGAGGATTGGTTCCTTTAATTAGACAGTCTCTGGGAAGATGACCCCAGCCTACAATTGCTCCTTTCTTTGAGTGTATGGCAGCCTGGACTCCATAGGAGACCCTGGGTGTGGGGCCTGTTCTTTAAGTTGGTGATACTATAACTGGAGAGATTTGTGTCTCTGTCAATGGAGTCGGCAGGCTGGGGACCATCAAGAGCAGAATATGAGGCCACAGAGCGTTCTTTCTCCATGTTTGTGCTAGGGTTCATGGAGACATTGCTGACGTCCTGCTTGATGGTGAGTGCAGCCTGGCGTGAAGGGCATAGACAGACTCCTGGATGAAGAGGTCCTCTGACTTGACGAGAGTGAACCAGTGCACCTGGGAGAGCAGCCCTGAGGAGATGGCTTTGTTCTGAGACTGACAGGCTTAGGATCTAGTGTGTTGAGTATAGGGAGAGTAACCCCAGGCTACACATGTGAATTAGCAGAGGCTGAAGTTCAAAGGCTGGACCAGAAAGTGGTAGTAACATGGAGTAAAGCCACTGAAGGTTGTGTGCAGGGCCGCTCTGCATGTGGCCTGGGCCGTAGGGACATTGTGGTGTTAGGATGGCTGTGCAGATACAGGAGGCAGTGTGTGCCCACCAGAGAGCCTTAGTCATGACCGAAACGCAACATCCAGACGCTTGAGTAGGAAGTTGAGAACCATGACTCATTCAAGGTCGGAGGGAACTAATAGAGTCCCTCCCGCTTCCACCCACTTCCTGCGCTCGCCCTGGCAGGAGCCATTCTCAACTGTTGCCTTTGCGATTATTCACATCTTCCAAACGCCGCCTACTTGGGATTCCTGCCGTCTCATTGTTTCAGTTAGTTCATAGTTGAGAAGAGAGTGGGTAGGAATAACTCTGTGTGTGTCCTTACCCAGTGACAAAATAGCCTCCATCCTCAAGAGATCAGGAGAGGAACCAAGGGGAGAAGCGGGAGGGAGGAAGGCATAGGAGGCTCAGGTTGGTGGAGGTAGGAAGCCAGCATGCTGTTCTTCCAGGGACTGCAGAGGCACCACCCATTCTCCACACCTTCCTGTTTGAGACTCAACTCTAGGGCCAGCAAGTCTGTCCAGTCTCATAGCAAGGGTAAGACTTACATCCTCAACTTGGGAGTTCCTAAGTCAATTCTCCGTACACTGTAGGTCCATGCTACCCAGTGTGTGGTCCGTAGTCTGGGAAGGGTCATGGCCATCAAAGCCAGGGACTTGAGATTTGACTTGTTAAGAGAGAGAGGAGGCTAGAGGGCAAGAAGAAGACATTTACGAGCAGGTTAAGTAGGGTCTCGAGGTTCCTGGAGAAGGCTCTGAAGCTCTCAGAATGTCCCTTGACCAAGACAGTGCTCGCTCTGTGACCCTGACCTGAGATGTTATGAAATCAAGGCCACAACTTGGAGACAGCGTGAGCCTGACAGCGAAGGGACCGGATGTGACCAATGTTTTCCTCAACCTCAAATGCCTCACAGATCCCAGAGTAGCTGTTTGCTTCTCCATTTCTCTTTCTAAAAGTCTAGCCTACCAAAAACAAAGCTCAAAAGGGACCCTGGTTATGACAGAACCGACTTTGGTAACAGACCAGCTCTCCTTGGCTGCCCTTCCCAGCACTGATACATGCATACAAGATTGCTTAACACCAGGCTGGGAGACCTTGTCAGCATCCAGGAGGTCAGAGCCATAATGAGAAAAGCCCAGGGTCAGTGTTTATGAGTAGAAGGAACCCTCCATGCATAGAGTTCTCAGAAACCAGCCAGAGCCAGCAGGAGGCCATGGTCTTGGAACTGAGCACATCTTTAGGACAAGGGACAATGAGCCAGTGAAGCATAGCCTC